TGGTTGAGGTCCGGCAGGGAACACTGGGCGTGGATGGTCGTGGTTGAGGTCCGGCAGGGAACACTGGGCGTGGATGGTCGTGGTTGAGGGAGAGGGAGGAGGAGTAGGCGGAGGAGGAGATGGGGCTGACATAAAATCTAACAACCCTCACCTGACAGGTGGGGAAAAATGTGAAGCAGTCGTGGACACATGCACACGAGCATTGACGGCATTGACAGCACAGGTCTCTCATTCAAAAATTCCAAACACCAAGCATCTTCAATGGACGTTCTTTAGATCCAGGCATATGACTGAACGAGAATTGTGGTGGCAAATCAAGGGGCCCCCCGCGATCTGCTTGAAGTCGCAGGCTCGCCTGGCAGGGTGATGATTTGATTCGTTCGGTACAAGAAAGGAAGATCCGGAAGGCTTCTGGTCATCTCTATATCCTATGCACTGCTGATACACCCCTCTTTTCGGTGCATCCTCGCAAAAACAGGTGTACATGGTTGAACATCATCCTCTTGGTCGTTTCAAGCTGTTTGCCATTTCACATGATCACATTGAAACAGCTCCCTCGTGCTGCTCAGTTCCACTCTTCTCGCTCCGTGCCGCTCATGCCAGTCACTCAGGGTGTCAGGGATGGCCCACAACCGACTAGAGGTCCGCAGAAATCCAAGTCCGTTCTTCAGGGTCTTTCTCACTGAGCCGCTTTTTGGGTGCCGAGCTGTTCACACCTAACACCTAACCGGCCCGAAATCGATCTGTAAACCAGCCTGGGCAGTCCAACTCTACCTGACAAGCATGTGATGTGACAATCTAGAGACTCCCTATACACTTTGGCAGATGGAAAGCAAAGGAAGGTTCGCCATCCATCAGATTTGTCCCTCTGCTTTCCTAAGAATAAACTCTCTTTCTTTTCGTTGTTCTTGTTGGTCTTTCTCCTTTTTCGCGTTTGACCTCTAGACTTGTCCTTGTCTTTCTGTCCGTCCTTTCTCTGAAGGCGGCAGCACCCGCCTGCAAATTCACCGACTCCAAGAGCCATTTCAGCGCCGTGAACCTTGCGACCCACCGCGGTCCGCTCCGACCCACCGCTCCGCGGTCCGTGTCGTCACGCGTGCGACCCGGCACCGCACGACCGGTGACGAAGTCTGAGGCTGCCCACCGCACTGGAGCGTCCTGAATCCAGAAACACATGTACCACACACATGGCAGCTCGTTTCGGTCAAGTTTTGTGTGTTGTGTTCGAATTGTATTCAGCATACATGTGCACATAAGGCAAGGACCAGAATCTTCATCGAGGGTGTATGGATGTGTGCGCCATCTTGGAAGGAAGGTGGCTGGGTAAGGCTGACTCCTACTTCACTGGAACAGCGCCTTCACCCACAACACCCCACAACAAGTACAGCAACCGCTGTCAGAAACGTGGGGGTTGTACCAGTATTATTTTCTTGTGCAATCTTGTTCGATCCGGCTTTTATGATGTGAATGCATGTAAAGCCCTAACAGCATGAAGAACATATTGACCTACTTTGTTCACCTGCGCACTTGCACATAGGGGTCAATATGGCTACAGTATTGATCATATATGCACCTTTTAGGGGGAGAAAAAGGCACGCCAGGGGCATCCATTTTCAAGGAATGGCCACTTTCAGCCCCTCCAGGTCGGCAATTTGGCCTGCTTTGCAGAGCCGAACACGAGGGAAGTCTTCTGGCCACCGATGCTTTGCCACGGATAGTTCGTGAACTGGGATGTTGGCACCCTCAAAGGTCTCTTGACCTCTAAGAAAATGCATCATTTCTCACAACCGGCGATCCTTGGCTTCCTTCCGGTGGCTAAATCGGACTCCACTCCACAGAGTCGCAGGAGGGACTGACATGACCATCTTTCGACGGTGCATTTGGCATCCCCATTTGTCCTACATGCGTTAAATCACCTTGGCATGAAAATTACCAGTCAAGATCACACATGCCGTCCCACTCGGACTCTGACTTCTACGACACTGTGATTCACATTCGCTGAACCCCTTGGTTTCTGGACCTTCCGTACCCGCGGCGGATTGAAGCCATCAAAGCTGCAACAATCTTTGCGAAGAGATGGCTCCTGGACAACGCAGCGCTGCGTTGGTCATGACCCCGCAAGAAAAGGCCTCCATATCAAAAGAATATGGCACAAGATCTGAGACTGGCATTCTTGCCAATGCCAAGCATATGCAAAGACCACTGAAGACGGAGTTTTGACCTTTGAATTGTCTCTTCCCTGCTGCCTCTTCTCAGTTGCACCATCAAACGTCGTTGGTCCTCGTCGTTGTCGAAGGTAGCAAAGCCAGTACATCACAAGGCCTAGCGCAATACTCACCAGGACCTTAGCTAATCAGACTGGTAGGCAGAGACTCTTAAACTGGGATTCCTAAGACAGACCTCTGGAAGAAGACTCGCTGGGATGCCCCCAGGTGAGTTCACAGGTGGGCAACCTGCATCAGTTCTTGGAGGAGGAGCATCCACCGCCCATGGTCCATTTACCTTCCACAGCTGATGAACTGCCCTCCTCCTGTCTCCCCGTTGGTGTGCATCTTTCATCAGACCATAAGAATTGACCTCGACCCTAACTCCGACCCAAACCCCTCTCTGCCCAACACCATCGCAAGCTCACCCAAAAAAATGAAAACCCTCACTCCGGCATGGGACACCCACATAGGCCCACAAAGACAGAAATCGCAATGATTTCTCCACCGGCCGCACTGGCAGATCACCTGAAAAGCCAAGCTTCACTGGCTTCGCCCCAAAAAAACACAGGGCACTCTTCTTTGGTCTCCCCAACCACCGGGTCTAAAGTCGCTCCCTTCTTTTGGACCACTCCAAGTTGACAGATGTTAACCACGACCCCTTGGGTTGTGTGTGTGTGTGTGTCTTTTGGACTGTGCTTGAAGTCGAAGCCGCTTGGGTTTGTCTCAGAATGAGGAGAGGTCGAAGGGCAAATAGACTTACAGTATATAAACAGAATTCAAGCCAACATCCAGTTGGTGCGATCATAATGGATTTTATGTACGTTTGGTTAATAAACTTATTGTGGTTGAACCAGCTTTTGTCAGAGAACCTTCTTCATTTTCGTAGCCAGAAGAGGTCAAACTAACTCTCTTTGAAGCCATGGGGTTTTATATTGCTTACAGAATTGGCTGATCAACAGGAACAGTCTCCAGCAGTTACTGGTGCGCCTCACGCATTCTCAAATCAGGTGGACTGAGAAAAAAAATAATCAAGTAGCACCAATCAAGGAGAACATACTGTGGCAAGGTCTTTCGTGTTTTCAATTACGCAGACGCATACACCCCAGATACCAACTAACTCTTAAAACAAAGGCACCTGAAACAAAGAATCAATTACGTAGTTCACAACCAACCCAGAGAAGTGGGGAGGCATGAGGAAACAATGCAGCAGCGGCAAACAAAACGCCGATCACACACGCAGACAAGTGTGGAGTCAGGTGGGGAGACATGCAAGGAGACGAGTGGGGAGACAAGGCAGTAGCGGCAGCGGTCGACCAAAACGCCGATCAGCCACCTCATTGAGAAGTAAGAAACCTCATTGCGTTCAGCTATTTCGGGGAAAAAAACAAAAAACAGCATCAATACTCCGGGCTTTTCCCTATCCCCAGGTGAGGAACTTCTTCTTTCCACGCCAACTCCCCCCAGCGCCTGGACCGGCAAAGAAGGGGAGGCCCATGACCTCCGTCGTGCTGGTGCGCGAGATGATGGTCGAGGTGCCTGGCAGAGGTGGTCTGGTGGGTGAACATCCTAAAGGAATAGGAACAAACCAGTCTACTTGAGTGGCGTATGTAACTCTATATATATAGATATATACTGTAGTATACTGTAGTATACTGTAGTTCTTGTTGCGATCCCGAGTGATAGGATGATTTGAATGCCTTGTATGTCGTATGATGCCACATCACGTCATGCCACAGTTCGTAAAAGGCTGCTTCGTTGCATGTCATGTGTGTGTGTGTGCTGTGCATGCATTTGCTATCATCCATAGTTATAGGCTATAGGCCAAAGGTACCCATGGCCGGAAATCAAGCTGGAGCACAAGGGCTAGCGTTGATGGACAAAATCAAGGTCACCCCCTCAAGGTCACCCTGAAAGTTAGCACTGACTATATACTAATAGATCAGTACCCTTAAAGCTTATGAGAGCTCTCTATGTCACGGAGCTGGGCAGAAACTAGGGTTTGGTCCTTCTAGTCACTCGCCGATCACTATAGTTTGAAACGGGCATGGTATCAGCAGGCATATAAAAGGTGCTGAAGCAATGACAGTGCAAGGCGCTGAAGGGCGTGGTGGTGACGGTGCTCCTGACCACGATGATTCGACAGCCCAAGCGCAGACCGGAACCCAGAGCAAACGAAATCTGGGTATGGCCAACGAGGGATCGATAAACCCAGGTGTTTGACTGAAAACAGATGAAAAAAATCGGGTTCCTGGCAGTAAACATTGCACATACTAAGGCTACTAGGGCCACTCCTCTTGGTCAAAAGCCACCTCCAAACCCTCGACCGATGAGGTCCGGGATCTCTTGACCGGATCTCCTGGTTGAAGAGGTCACCGTATGTGTGGTCCAGGTCAAGGTGCTGATGGTTGCTGTTGTGGATGTGGTGCTTGAGCTGGCATGTTGCATAGCACAGTGCTCCAAGCCAGTGAAGGCGAAAAAGAAGGATCGGACGCCTGGGCCAGGCGCACCTGCGTCACTGTGATTATCACGCCAGGCTCGGTCGCCTCGGGCATGGTACGGCCGCTGGCCAAACGGGCCCGTAGCTGCTGGCGACCGTCGCAACCCAGGGAACCGGACTTCTGGCGCTGCGGCTTCACTTCTTGGATGGTCAAAAACCAAGGCCTTGATGGGAGTATGTTTCAAGTCAAATGTGCGAATTCAATTCATGTCCGATAGATTCCTGATTCGCCATGTTGACGGCTCCAAGAGAAAAACAGAACGATGACCTCCACTTTCGCGGGACAATTCGACACATTTGACGCCCAAGACAGAGAAGCCCGCGGCGCCTGTGGTGCTTGTCATCCAAAATCCCAATACCTGACCTGTGACCTGTGAGTCAAAAACCGAAGGTACAAGTACAGCCTACCAGCCCTTTAGCAAGGGCAAGTCAGTCTTCGTGTGTTGCTTTGCGTCGAGAAAAAGAAAATCGCATGTGTCACAGCACTGACCTGGTATACGTTGTCCCTTTACACTGAAATACGAGTCTTTTGAAAAATCCAGGTCCCGACCGAACCGAACCGCCGAACCGACCGAACCGCCCAAACCCCGAACCGAACACGCCGGCCGGCCATCGCGCGCAGACCCACTGATACACGGAGTCCGGACGCCCGAGACACCGGAAGCAGCGGAGTCCGGGCGTTCGGAGCCCAGCACCAGGTCAATGTGGTCGACCTTTCCTGAGTCGTGAGGATCGCCATCGGTCGTGAGTTCGGGCACGACATCGGAATCGAAGACTTCACGCCCCTTGTTATGTCCGATCGTCCCTGGGTTTGGGAACGGTTTTTCTCCCACCCTTCCAGAATTCACGGAAAAATACTGGCCTGTCCATACTGGCCTGTCCCTTGTGAGAGGCAAAAATACCTTCGGATCTTTTGCTTTGCCTTCTGCTTAAATGGTGTTGGGCTCCAGAATAAAACGAGCTTCCAACTCTAGTTCGGATTAGCACACGATGAAATCTCCGTGTTGACCCGATCCAGTTGAGGCTGTTGAAAGGATGTCTGCAAGCGACGCAAAGACACTGGTGATTCGACCAAACCTGTCCATCGACGTCACCAGGTTCAGTCGATTGGGCTCTCGCAACTAGATCTGCGAATTCGTTGAGTAACAAGTGCCACGCTAGTAGTAACAAGTGCCTTAAATAGTAGTAAAAAGAAGCTAGTAGTAACAAGTGCCACGCTAGTAGTAACGATCTCGTGGCGCCACGATGACTCCCCATCAGTGTCACGTCTGAAGCACCCTCAACTCCGTATCTCTCCAGTCAAGGTTCATCAGTTGTTCCACCTCTCAGTTGTTCCCCCAAACCATTGAGCTTCGATGAATTCGTGTAGACATATAGGGAGATGATCCGGGAGATGTACATATTTTGACTGGTTTCTCACACAAGCAACCCGCGAAAGCAATAGTTTGGGTCAGTCAATGATAGTTGGCTACAGAGTGCCACTTCGTGACATGGCAGTGCTGCCTTACATGATGAAAGCTCTTTTCAATTGTTGTGTGCATTGCATTCATATCGACCCTTCCCTACCATCACATTGCATGGCACACTATGCCAACAGGACCACGACTCCAACACCCAAAGTCCATATGTCACCACGGTTCCAAAGCGCAAGCTCACGCAGGTCCTTTGCTGCTCAGGTGTGAGTTCACCAGCATAGGTCGGGTTGCCAGCCCCCAAATCCGTTAGAGAAGATAGCTCCTTCCTGTAGGGATAGTTCAAGCTATACTCCACGGAGTCGCCAAATGATCTCAACTGCAACTGGGTATTCTTCGCCCAATATGCCTAGGCCAGGCCAGGCAAAAAGTCAGTGAGATGCGAAAACAGCCACGCCCGGTGTTTTCGCCAAAAGCAACCAGGATTAACCAAAACAGCGGGAGCATCAATTGAAACCAAGCAACTTGGTGACGTCCAAAAGCTCTGACGTATTCCGTGGAACTGGAGCCGCCATCCAAGTCGCACACCAAAAGGTCGAAACTTTGCAGCCAAACCGGCGCATTGGCCATGTCTTTGAACCTCGGCTGAGACGATGTTTCTTCCAGATTTCAGACAGGTCACTCTTGAAGAGAAATCGCACATCACGTGCTGAACAGCGACACCAAAATACACTAAAAGGGTTCTTGGGGCAAAAGGAGGCCAACTTGAATCTCAATCGAACATCTCTGCCAGGAAGTTCGTTGATGATCCCAAAGTTACCTTGAAGGCCGTTCCATTCCGCCGGGTGAGGCTCATAAGCACTCATGGCATGCAACGAGACCTGGAGCGCACGACGGAGTTCACGACATCGTCGTGATAGTGCGAGGAGGTTCGAGTCCGGCCGTGGTCGCCCATCTTAGGCCCATCCGGCGGTGCCGTTGCCCATTGTGATTAAATATGAATGAAACGAAGCACTTCGTAATCATCCCCAAGCACCAAGGACGCTACGAACGGGGCTCCTGGCCTTACTACTTGGAGCAAGAAGCTACGAATGGAGCAAACGGCATCACTAGGAACGGAGCGATCGGACGCTACGAACGGGGCTCCAAGCACCAGGCTCCGAAGTCTCGTTCCTCGGAGATGCCTGGAGACGTTCGTTTCCCCCCGGCGCATCGGACAAGAGATTCCCACCTTGAAGTCCTCAGTGTCTGAGCCATAGGCTTCTCTGGTGACCAGGTATTCGATCGTCTCCTCCCCTTGGTCAGGACCTTTGCCTGCCAAGTTGTTCTGCAGGATGGCCTGCCGGAGTCGTGAGGCACAGCAAAATGGCTCGAAGACTCTTCTGGACTCGAAGAAATTCTGTAGATCTGAGCTCAACAAAGCAGAAAGCTGTGGTCATTCCATGCAAACCCTGCCTTGATCGGAAAGGTCACACCTTCCTTCAGGCATTCCGGGGAACGCAAGGCCACATTGGGCCCTCCTGTTTTGGTTTCCCCTTCCAAGTCCCGAAACTGATCACCGGCCATCCTCAGATGACAAGGGTGCCGTTGTGGGTTTGTCTCATGTCTGGTCAATCAAAAAAACATGGAAGGCTACAAGAAGGATGAAAAGGAAACACGGCCGTGAAACCAAAGTCACTGTTCCTAGTTCCTTGCAATTCTCATACCATGCAAGAATGCAGCATGAGAAAGTCGGCCATCGGTCGTGCAGCGCCCTCCCGTTCTGTCCAGGTCACTTGGCATGTTTTTGTTGTTTCAAGTGCTTAACTCCCACTGAAAGAGAGCTGACCATCGCAGCCACGATCAGCAATGCTGCAAACAGCCTTGGGCCATAGAGGCACTGAAATGTTCTTCAAGCAGGAGTCAACCACATTTCCCCTGTGAACGCCCTGAAAGCCACAGGTTCAAGCACTCAAGAAATTCTGGTGTTACATTCTGATACCTCTCTGAGCAAACATCCAAAATAACATCAAAAAAGATCCAAGTCCCTCATGTCAATGACTTGGGCGAGCCACTGCCAGCTACCAAGACTTGGGATGTGAAGCTCCACAGCGTTTTGACGGCCATCTGCAGGTCCTGGGCGTGGTGACAAAACATCGATCCAATCCCCCAGGTGTTGAGCTCAGCACGAAACGTTTGCAGAACCTACTGTCTTCAATGGATTCAACCAGAAGAGAAATGGCAAGTGCTGTGGTCTGCGGCTGTATTTGCACTTAACACTTTGCCGCATCCTGCATCTTCACCTAGTGTCTCTCCTCCTCTTCTCAGGCTCCACAGGAGAAAGCCTTCCTTTTTTCATGTGTTCAGGCTCACTTCAGGATCTCAAATCTGCGTTCAAGCCAACAAAAGTAGATGAGAAATCTTCAAGGGCCTAGCATCTCTTTGGTGGGTTCTCAGTTCCAAAACACCCTGTGAGCGATCGTTTTTGTCTGGCCAAAGCGCGTGCAATTAGGCGGCGTGACTCCTCTCTCGCTTGTCGTCCTCGAAAGCAGGATGCTTGAGATGAGGTGCAGGAGAAATGGAATTGCAAATACTACAAAAGGACTTTGGAGGAAGGCGCAGTGACGCAGTGTGCTTCTCAGGTGCATGGTGAAACACACAGGTCAGTGGAGAGGGTGGTCCCCACAATCTCTCCACCTGAAAATTAATAGAACTATATATACTGTATATATATATACTAGTAGCGTCCTTGTTACTAGTAGCTTCTTGCTCTTCGTAGTAAGGCCAGGAGCCCCTAGTAGCGTTCTTGCTCCTAGTAGCGATGCTAGGAGCTACTAGTAGCGTCCTATATGCAAATTCTGCTGGAACTCTCCAAGCAGTACATCTCTTCCTTCAGTTTCACGTCGTCCAACCCACCCGGACGAAGACGTGAAACGTCGCCCTTGGGTGCCCGCCTGGAGCGTCTGTGCCAGAACGCCACATGATACATGCCCCAAAGAAGAGCGCAAGGCCATCAACCGGCCGAAGTGCCCGCAGTGCTTGGATGTGAAGCAAGCTGACTCGAGAACCGGAAGATCTGAAATTGACTCGAAGCTAGGCAAAACTATGCGAAACTACGCAACTTAGTGCTTTGTGCTTGTCCTATGTGAATGCCTTCCTGGGTATTATGATGGAGACTTTGACAGTTCTGCTTGCCTGGTGAGAACCTCGGCACTTGACTGCAGGGTTGTAAGTCAACTTGGTTGCCACATGTAGCTGACGTTGAACTGCCAAACGATACCCTTCTCTGTGAATCTCATGGTCGGTCCACGCTAAACTTTCGAGCCCAAAAGCACAGGAACGGCTGCTGGCTGTGCATAGCTCAAAAGCAAAAACCTAATCATCTGGGTATCACAGATTCTGCCCATGTGTCCCCATTCACCCCAGCAAAGGGGTGGTGCCCCACTTTTTGGGCCATGGCACATCTAATCTATCTATCGCTGGCGCCGGTGGTCGCCCCCATCTCCTCGGAGCGTTGCTCTCCCCCGGCACGGCAGCAACGCGCCACTGTGGAGGCCGCCTGAGGCGGGAAATGGGCAGCCGAGGCTGACCGCTTCGACGACCGCCAGGAGGGATGCACCCCATGGGCCCCATGTCAACGCTGAAATCGCAAAAATCCTGTTTCGCTCAGCTCTCAACATTGGGGAGCCTGCATGCTCACCTGCTCCTACCTTGAACCTGTGATACTTGTGCTCCAACCCACCCCTCCAGCCTGGGAGATCGCTTGCTGCGTTCGCTCGGGCCGCTCCGAGGCAGACTTTCGGATCTCCTGGGAGAGAACGGCCGTTCCGGACCTCGGACCTGGGACCGTTCGGGCGCGACAGCGAGCAGACAGCGACCGGCCAAGGAACTTCTGTTTTTGGTCGGCGTTCGCTCCTCCAAAAGCCCTTCAAGACATGCTTGGGCCTGCAGGAAAGCCAATTTTCTAGAGCTAGAAACAGCTCCAAGAATAAGTGAAACATGAGGGGAACTGACAGAGTAGCAGTGCAGACTCTTTCTTTT